TATATTTTAAAATTTATAGTATTTTTTGTTTTTGCTAAAAATATCATTCGCTCAAGGGTAGTCGCAGACTGGGGATCGATAAGATAGGTAATGCGTCATTGGATTTTATTGCTTTAAATAGGCTTTCGGCAAATGGAACGGGTGATGAAATCGTGTCAAATAGTTATTTGAAAAGACTTTTAGTTTTGGTATTGGAAAGACTAAAACACACAAACACACATACAGTGAGTAACTTTAAATTCGGTTTTTTCATTACTATGCCTTTTTTACTAAATTTCTACAGGAGAAACTATAAAAATCGCACTTATTTCACATCATAGTTTATGACACGCATTTCCTTTTATGGTACGCTACTTCGCTGCTAAAATTGCATGGTTAAAAACCGAAACGAAACCAAAAACGCAAAAAAGTCAGAATTTCACACGCCATTAATATTCGGTTTTCTTAATAATGCAGCCAAATACTTGCAAATAAATGCATAAAATGTTAGGGAATAATATTTAATGCTAAACCCGTGGCTTTAATAACATCACTTACACGTTTTGGAATATAATTAATTAATTCTAGTGTATAGCCTTGCCCCATTTCCGCCCATTCTTCCTGCAACCTTACTTTTAGCTCCCTCCGAGAAGTTATTGACTTCTTTAGAACACGCCGTCACACTGTGCGAGAATGGCTGCTTTACAAATGGCTAAAACTGATCTTTACTCCTCCTAAACATAGCTAAAAGAGGTTTCTTGCTGGGTATTTAACCAGTCATAACCGACTGCTTTCTCATATATGTACATTAGACTGCATCACTCCCCATACAAAAAAAAATCGGTACTATTTTTCCATTGGAATTATAAAATCTATTAAATTTTAAGACATCCACCAAAATATTTCGGAAAAATATTAAGATTTAAGTGAGCTGGACCGATTTGAAAATACCTCCAAAAATGGAGTTTTTTATGAATAAAAATAGTTTCTTAAAGATTTTTTTTTAAAAAATCCCCTCAAATGACAAAACGGTTTAAGCTTAAAATATTTGCATAAAAATAGTTAAAAAAAATTAAAAAAAAATTTTGAACGGAATCGTAATGATGAGATTTTCGATGCTGTTTTTTAACTTTTTTCAAAGATTGGTATAGGAAAAACTTAAATAACTGAACCTAAACTCTTCCGATTTAGACTTAATAAACTCATTCAAAGAATGGAAGAGAAAGGTAGGATGAACGAACGTCATTAAAAGTTGAATTAAGATCTGTTGGTATTCGAAAAAACAAGATGGGACACGAATGACGTGTTTTTGGCGTGGTTTTTTAAAAACAGTGTGAAAATACCTTTCTACTAAGATCCAATAAGTCTAAATCAGAACATTTTTGGCCCAGTTATTCAAGTCTTTGGTAAATCAATCTTTGAAAAAAGTAAAAAAAAAACAGCATCAAAAATCTCATTCTTACGATTCCGTTGAAAAGATTTTTAAATATTTTTATGGAGATTTTTTAAGCTTAATCTAATTTGTCATCTGATGGGACTTTTTTCAAAAAGTTCTTTAAGAAACTATTTTTATTAATAAAAAACTTTTTTTTGAGGTATTTTCAAATCGGTCCAGCTCGCTTAAATCTTAATATTTTTCCGAAATATTTTGGTGGACGTCTCAAAATATAATAAATTTTGTAGTCTCGGCGGAAAAACCGCAACTTTTTTTGGTGATGCAGTCTAATGTACATATGTACATCGGATACACTCTAAAAAGTGCATGTAAAACTACTAGTGAAAAATAGCATAAATAAAATAAAATAAATACACGCACTAGGTGTTCAAGATTTGATTGTGAACATGAGATGTTTTAAAAATACACATAAATAGACACATGAAATGTTTAAAATTGTAAAAAATTTTAAAGTAAAAATATATTTTTTACTAATAATAAACATTAAGTGCTCATATTTACTCAATATTAAATACTTTGTGTATAATTGTTCTCTCGGTGACAAATTGTATAAGTAAGAGTAAATAGACAGTTTAATTTTGCACACACTAGGAGAGGAAACTGGTTACCTCTTTTGTATGCGTAAATTTAAACAAAATATTTTCAGAGCAAATTTTTAAAAACATTTTATGTGTAAACTGTGAAATTGTGTACAATAAATGTTTACTAGTCAACAACAAGCAAATTTGAAATTTAATTAACACGGTGTGTAAATTTTAATTCATTAAGAGAGGAAACTGGTTGCCTACAAAATTTTTTAGAGTGTAGGCAAGTACAGAACGTCGATTTTGCTTTGTGACTGTTTGGCGTTGACCAGATAAAAGTCTTTAAATTCTCCGCAGGAGGGAAGTTGACAATGTTTTGGCTCTCAAGCTTAAGGTTTTCAATATCGAAACAAAAGGGAGCTTCTAGGTGACAGCGCACAGTGGTTCAGATAGCAGATCTAGCTGGACGAAAGTCAAAATTTTTTTTGTTTTTAAAATACTTAATGGTACTTGGAATACATTCCTGACAATACATTCAAATAGAAATTGCAGTTATTAAAGCATTAACATATGAAAACAAACAAAAAAAGGTAAGTCAACGCCACCTATTTGAGAACTCTATTTTAAAAGCTGAAATTTAACTTAAAAGATTGCTAATTGCACTCACAGATATTTGCATAATAGCAAATTGACTTTATAAACTAAAAATTACACTTATTCCGCTATAGATTCAGAGGTCATAACGCAATTTATGTCCACATTGGTATAAGCAAATTTATTCTGAAAAATCGTCGTTTTGATTAATTAAAAAGATAAATTAAAGAGTAGTAGATATTTAAATTTTAGTGACAGTATGTCAAATCTCAAAATTCAAAAGTAATTATTAAGAGGAATGTATCTGAATATAAATATAAGATCAGTGGCGGATCCACCGGGAAGAGGGGGGAGGGGTTGTGTGTTAAAACAGAAAAATACTTGGAGTTATAAAAACTTTGGTTATGTAAGAGTTAAAAAAATAGTAACTCGCGAATTTTCTGCTTTCTGAAATTAAAAAATTATACAACAGGCATGCAAATCTTTAAGCGCTGTTATAAATTTTTTTCTGAAATTTATTTGTGTTTCTTGCTGTGATCTTAAATTTTAGTCATGGTAAAGAAAATCTTAAGAAGTGAGTTGTTTGACATTTGGAGTGTTGCTGAAACTTCTAAAAGACAACAAGGTGTCCGTGATTATGTGATTAGTAAATTGAAAGAAATATCTGATGGAAATGCTCGTTCCGAAGTAAAGAAAGTACATTAAGTAAATGACTTTATATTCGTAATCAGCAACCCAGAAAACCCCCAGATACCCAGTTACACAGAAATCTACCGATTTTTTTTTAAATTTTCGTCCGCCATATTGGATCCGCCATTTTGAATTTTTGGTAAATGACTTTAGATATGTAATCAGCGACCCAGAAACCCCCCAGATACCCAGTTTCATAGAAATCTACCGAATTTTTTTAATTTTCGTCCGCCATATTGGATCCGCCATTTTGAATTTTTGATAAGTGACTTCAGATTCGTAATCAGCGACCCAAAAGTCCCCTAGGTAAGAAGTGGTGTAAAGATCCATCAACGAGTATTTGTTTAAATAGTTTCGTCCAGCTAGATTTGCGATCCGAACCACTGTGCAGCGCCCCTTGTTTTGTTACAACCAAATTTCTTTACCAAACAGGTAATGCCAGCGCAAATTTAGGCTGAGATTGTGAGATTTTGAGACTGTACAAGAAAACCACATATGAATTTATATACCTAACCATTACTGGAGTCGAAGATTGGACTCAACTCTATAGATGTGAGTCGAAAGTGTAGTCTAACGGCGCAGTTACCCACCGACGTAAAATCGGATACCGTGTCAGGTAACAAGACTTATCTACTAAATTAGATTATTGTGTTGACTAAAACTCACCACCGCATCTCGGCGACTTAATTAATTAATCAATTGTTCCCAACGGTTTTTACCCTCCTCTCCCGCCCAACCGGCACATAATCAAATTCATCAGCTGACTGTATATGCTAAAGATAGTATTTCAATTATTGAGAGTGGAAATGATAGGTTTCTTTATAGTAAAAATCGAGTCCGATATGTCAAACGTGCTGGAATGAGAGGTAAAATCTTGACATAAACAACGGAATGATTCGTTTAGTTCAAAATTAGTTTTGCGTGGCTTCAAAAACAGAGGACGCAAGTGTTTTCACACTCGATAGGGAACATTAAAATTTACCTCAGCCAGAAGGGCCGGGCTTTTAATCAAGCCTGTCATTAATTTACCGATAAATATTATACCTAGCATTTTTCTCCAACTTGCGAGTGTAGGCAAATTTATGAGCTTTAGACGACTAGTGTATGGGGGGCCATTGTATTCTGAATCCCAGTTAAAATCACGCAATGCAAACAGCAATGATTGTTTTTGAATTGAAACAATCCTTTCTGAATGAACTTGGTAGCAGGGATTCCAAACAATAGATTCGTAATCTAGTATAGGTCTAACTAAAGTGGTAAAAAGAGCTTTTGTAACATAAGGATCTTTGAACTCTTTTGACCATCGCTTTACAAATGCAAAACCGCCTTTGGCTTTTTTGCTTGCTTGTAACAAATACCTTTTCTTCGATAGAGGACAATGTTTTAAAAAGGTTTACATCATCGGCATACATTGCAATTTTTGAATATTTTATTATAGAAGAAATATCATTAATGAATATCAGGAACAGAATCGGACCAAGGTGGTTTCCCTGAGGAACTCCCTGAAGAAACTTTAATGATGTTGGAAAAACAATTTTTAAAAATAACTCTTTGTGTTCTATCAGAGAGGTAAGAAGAGATCCATGGAAGAAGACTGGTCTGAAAGCCGATTAGGTCGAGTTTACGGACTAGCAACGAGTGATATACTTAGTCAAAAGCTTTAATGAAATCGGTGTATATTACGTCGGTATGAGCATTTTCTCTAAAACCGTTTGAGACATCAGTTGTACACTCCAATAAATTAGTGATAGTAGATTTTCCTTTAGATAACCCGTGTTGATATTGTGAAAATGAAGAAGATATAGAATATGTCAGCTGATTCACAATAATTGCTTCGAATAATTTGGGGATAGCGGAGAGCTTCGCTCCGCCTCGATAGTTTTCTATAGAAGACCTGCTGCCGTTTTTGTGAAGTGGTATTATAAAAGATTCCTTCCAGGCTGACGGAAAAACGCCATGTTTTAGTGACAAGTTGAATAGA